GGACCGAAGTCTTTCTCAGTTCCTACGTCACCTGCGCTCATTGGTTGGATAAACTACAGTCGACAACTCACTCCTACGAGAAATCTGGATTCAACGTCTACCGGCCCAGACTCAACAAATATTGCAAACACAGATCAATGGAGACTTTGAAGATCTTGCATCGCTCGCCAACAAGATATGTAGGATTGCATAACCGCTAGTAATCGCAGCAACTAATAACAACCAACAGCGGGACATCATACAAAAACTAATTCATAAAAATAATCAACTAACACATCGTGTCGAAGATCTTATGGAGCAATTAGCCAAGTTTCCCCATCAAAGCAGAGTCAACAGATCAGCAAACAGAAGCCGTAGTCCATTTCGACAAGACAGGCCTAACTACTTCTACAGGCCGAAAGTACTAGACGGAACCAAAATATATTCTGTTGCCATGCGAAATTCGAAAATAAGGCAAGAAAATGTGAAAATCATTGAACGTTCAGAGATTAAAACTCCAACGGGAAAGAGTGATAGCGACTTATCCTTGCTCTCCATCTAGCCGTCGCCTCTTCATAAGTGATCGCAGAACTAAGATACAGTTTTTGGTCGACACAGGTTCAGACAATTGCGTGTATTTAGGTAGATTAACTGCTAAACCAAATCCACAACTAAACTATACATTTTCTGCTGCAACCAACATACGCACATACGGGGATATCATTTTACAATTAGATTTCGGATTTTGAAGAAATTTCACTTGGAGATTTGTCGTAGGAGACTTAACAATGCCTATTCTTGGCGAAGACTTTTTGGCTTATTACAATATCATTATCAATATAAAGAATTCGCGTCTACATGACAACCTGACATCACTGTCTTTTCCAGGATGTATCACATTTTTTCGGATACAAAGTGTCAAGTCTATATTTAGAGATAGTGCATATAATAAATTATTAGCTGGTCTTCCATCCATCACTAAACCATCAGACTTGTGTCAAGAACACAAAAACAAAATGTTTCATTATATCATGACTACTCCAGGACCTCCAGTTTCTTCTATACCACGGCGCCCAAGCCAGAATTACTTTGCGCAGCCAAAGAAAAATTTAAAAATAAGGTAGAATGAGGCATTGCAAGACCATCCGATAGTTCTTGGGCCTCATCTCTACATCGGACACAAAAAAGGATTCGACGTCGCGTCCATGCGGAGATTATCGGCTTCTCAGCTCGCACACAATTCCAGACAAATATCCAGTACGCCAACTTAGCTGGATGTACTGTATTTTCAGTGATCAATTTAGTTAACGCATTTCAACAGATCCAGTCCACAGATGATATCGCAAAAACTCAATGATAACACCCTCTGAACTTTTTGAATTCCTCTACATGACTTTTGGCCTAAGAAATGCAGCACAAACATTCCAGCGATTCATAGGTGAGGTTACACAAGGTCTGGATTTTTGTTACGCATACCTAGATGATATTTTTGTATCATCTACTTCGATAGAAGAGCATGAAGATCATCTCCGGCAACTATTGCAACGTTTGAAAGACCACGGCGTTGTTACATACTCAGTGAAATGCGTAAAAGGTTCACCCAAAGTTACATTTCTTGGATATGATTTATCTAAAGATGGAACTTTACCACCACAAGACCGTATCAACAATCTTCAAGCATATCTGCTTCCGGCAACCTATTCAAAGCTGCGACGATTCCCATGAATGATTAATTATTGTTTAATTTTTTGCTCCGTTACACAAGTTGCTCTCAGGATCTACCAAATCTGGATCACAACCAATTTCTTAGACCCCCTTTGAAAAAACTTGCTAAAGCAACATTACTAGCACACCCTGTATCAAAATCTCAAACAGTTTTATTTAGCGATGTATTTAACCATTCTATCGGTGCAGTATTACAGCAGTACATCAGTGGCACTTGGCAAACATTAGGTTTCTTTAAAAAAAAAACTATCTGGGAAACAACAACTATGGCCAGCATATTATCGAGAACGTTTGGCTGGTTATGAAGCAGTGCAACATTTTCGAAGCTTATTGAAAGGCAGATATTTCATTTGGTTTACTGACCACAAACCTTTAATTCACACCTTTTTCTAACAAAAACACAAGCTGCCGCCAACACAATTATACCAATTACCTTTAATTCACATCAATTATACCAATTACCTTTAATTCACACCTTTTTCTAACAAAAACACAAGCTGCCGCCAACACAATTATACCAATTAAGTTTCTTGTCGCAGTTTACAACAGATGCTCGCTATGTTAGTGGATAACAAAACACAGTAGCTTTCTCAAGAGCAGACACCATAACATCGCCTATGGATTATTCTGTTATTGCTAAATCGCAAGACGAAGATGAAGAACTTGCTACGCTCTTAAAATCAGATACTGCTCTCAACCTGAAATGCACTGCTATTCCAGGGACCAAAAAATTATTATATTTTGACATTTCTCAAAATCGGTCACGTTCTTATGCTCCTGCTAAACATAGGCGACACATTTTTGATACTCTGCACAATCTATCTTATCCTTGTATAAAAACCACAACTAAACTCATGATGGATAGATATTTTTGACCTGGCATTTGCAAGGTTTGTAGAACCTGGGCTCGTAGCAGCATCTCCTGTCAACGCTCCAAAATTGGTCGGCATATAGTCACGCCACTTGAAGATGTCAAACTGCCACTTGCGAGATTTTTGCATGTTCATATTGATATTCTCGGATCACTTCAAAAGGCTTCAAGTACTTATTTACCGCTATAGATCGTTACACACGTTGGCTTGAATTATTTTCTCTATCAGATATTATCGCAGAAAATGTAACTTGGGCTTTCCTGTATTCTTGGATTTTATGCTTAACTCTCTAGGCGACAGATATTATCAGACGCAAATAAACTTTCTCACTTTACAACAGCCTATCATCTGTATTCTTGGATTTATGCTTCGGGATGGATTCATACCTCAAGTAACAAAAGGCAGTGCTGAACTAGCCTCAACTCTATTAGGGACTCTAGAGTGTGAAGGGAGTATATTAAGGATTTGATCTCTTTTCTCGTAAGTAGTCAACAACTGGGCAAAAAAATAAGGAAATCCAACCAAAGAAAGCCGAAGAAAACTTTATACATATTCTTTGTAAATAAACATTATTTTCACATATAATTGCGGTTTCTTAATTTTTATATGTGGGGCCACCCCACACGTTTTCAGAAAAATAAATTGAACTGGTGGTGTTTAGCAATGTGCCTTAAGGTAAATTGCTGGAACTCGTACTTATTGTTTCATATTTAGTACAATATGATAATAAGAATTAATATTATTCGGAAATCTTACAGTAAATAACTAATAACAAGTTTTTCATATTGTTGATGTTGAAAGTATGGTTTTGTTGAATTTGAAAAAAAAGCATAGCTCTTTGGTAGCGTGTTCGATTCACACGACAGGAATCTTCGGATCAAATCCTGTCAATGTCATAGAATTTATGAACAAATAATATGTGTAGTTAATTTGAAATCAAATAAAAATTGTATTTGTTAAATAGAATTTGAATAAAAATTAAGAATAACAGGTATAACAGAATTCGAACAGTTAAATTGATTTAGGAGTAAGAAAAGGAATGTTGGAACTTGAAAGAAGAATGAAGAAAAGAATGGTATGAAGCTGAAGGTTAAATAGAATTAGAAATTTGAAAAAGAGCAAGAATTGAAGAAAATAAGAAGAAGAAGAAAAATTAAGAAGAATATAGAATAGGATACACAAAAATAGATTGAAAATGATGTAAAAATTAGAATTGTAACTAAATAAAAAAAACGTTGTAGGTGGCTAAATGCTCAGAGTAAGCGAGACCAAATAAAAAAAATTAAAAAAAAAGAAAAAAAATCTATATTAAAAAAATCAGAAATATTTGTGTTTAATTTAATGCGTTTTTAGGAAAATTAATTAAACTTATGGTATATGGCATCGTGTCTTAAAGCAAATTGCTAGAACTTACCATAATGAAATGTTCGAGATATATGAAATGTTTTTAAATAGATTATTATAAATACTGTAACTTACATATGTTTACAGAAAAGTAAATAAACAAAACTGAGTCAATCAAATTTGAAATGAAGGACATTGGCTAATATTTATAAGAATTATATAAACTTAATTGTAAAGTTAAAACTATTTATTTTAAGTATATAAGTGAGTTTTAGATAGAAATAAAATTAAAATCTGAATGATTTTCGAATATTTTTTTGGAAATTAAAAAAAAATGAAAAAAAAACTTTTCTCGCAATCGTTTCGTCATCACAAGCAGAACATTTTTTGAATCATACAAATGGGATACTTACTTTTCTCAAATACCGCCATTGTTTGCACATTTAACTCCATATCTTCGAAACCTTTGCCAAAAATTAATCACCCCTTTTCCTTATTATTACGGATTGCATGTTTTTGGACCATTCAAACCAAATACGCCGTTCTATCAAAAACTCGATTTTTATTTTCTGCACTGTTTGCTCCATATTTCCAAAACGACTAGACCCGCCTTTGCCAAGAACTAATCAGCACATCTCCCTATCATTAGGAATGCAATGTTTTTTGAATCATTCAAATCAATTGATCCGTGCGCACGAGAACATGGACGAAAAAATGTGGACACACCAAATACACACACGCACACACCCATCTCTTTTGTTCTGAGGTAAATCAAAATGTTTAGAAACCTTCAAAACGAGAAGATATGCAAAAATTTTCATTTTTAATTTTCGACCCACCAGTATAACTTACCCTACTGGAAGTTAATAGCCCTATGGGAAGTTAATAAACCTTGGTCATAATCTACAAACAGTTAATAAAATGAGATGAGTCAAAATAGTTCCTAAGCCCTCTCTTACTTCATTCCATTAAACTATGCAAGAAAATAAAAGCTAAATTGAAAACATTATCTTATCTTGTATATTTTTAATATCCTGATACAGTTGATACATATTATTTTGATGAAATATTATTGATAATCATCTTTGTTAAAATATAATCACTTCTATATAAATCTTCAACAACGTTGAAATGATCGTGATCGTTGATAAGCACAAATTGTGTATTAGAAAATATAGAATTTAAAATTTGATAATATTCTTTAGATTGCAAAATAAATGCTGGACTGTCATACTGGCCTACAGCAATAATAATTTTGATTTTGGAGTACATAGGTTCCATGTAACTGCTATAAATTGGACTTAAGGCTTTAGTTTCACCTTCTGATAAAGATAAATTTATATTTTCGCTTGTGTGTATCAGTGGTGAAATATCAAAAATACCAGATATTAGGCAAAAGCCTGTAACAATAGATTGTAAATGTTCTGGTAAATTGAGCAGAAAGTCCTTTTCCAGTATGATTGAAGCTAAGTGTGCACCTGCAGAATGTCCGCAAAATGTTACTGATCTGAAACAAAAATGAATGAAGTACACACACATAGGTATATATATATATATATATATATATATATATATTGAATATGATGTTGATATATATGTTTAATTTGAGTTTAATATTCGGGCGTAACATCAATAAAAATAGTATGAGAGTTTTTTCCAAAAAGTTTATTTATTTAAAATCCATACGTTTCGGCTAGCATCTTAGCCATCATTCAAAAATTTTTTCTATCTTAAACTCCGAAGAGTAAATACATAGTTTCGACAACTTGTTACCATGGTTATTAGTGTGTTTTACCATTTGTGATGTTAAAAAATATATTTATCTTATCAATGAACACATACTCATACCATGCATTAATTATGGTTCAATGATGGTTTCATATGCTATATTAGGATACAAAATTACCACTGAATGATGGCTAAGATGCTAGCCAAAACGTATGGATTTTAAATAAATAAACTTAAAAAAAACTCTCATACTACTTTTATTGATGTTACGCCCAAATATTAAAATCAAATTATATATATATATATATATATATATATATATATATATGTGTGTGTAGGTGAACAAATGTTGATAATGATAATATATATTTATTCTTATTATTTACACTACATGTAATACAAGCGATAAGCGGAGAGTGAGTGAGAATTATTCTATGATAGGTCTGGGTTTTATACCCAAACCTTAACCACGTGGACGTCTGCTATTGGTCGTGTTTGCCATTCCTAAGGTTGTCAATTGGAGGGTCGCTACACCAGCCCCCTACTGAGACCGGAGGTCGGTATCCTGAATTTTATCCTTCGTCCATACCTTGTCTTGTATTACAAAGGATCCGGCTGTTCAGATTCCTTCAGGACGCAAGCGGGCTTCACTCGATCTGTGCTAACCGTCTCTCTTTGGCCGCTGAAATCTAAAGTGATTGTTTTATTATTTTTACCAAGGACCTTATATGGACCGGTGTACGGCTGTTGCAGTGACCTTCTGATGCGATCGTCTCTTAACATCACAAATTCTGCGGTTCCTAAGTCATTGAAAACAAATGGTGTGTCCTTTCTGTGGTGAGCGGTTGGTTGTGGCTGAAGTTTTGTTATAATTTTTCGAGATTTAATATGAATGTCGAGCTGTCGACTGTATTTTCTGTATTTGCTGTCAAAAATTCGTCTGGCAAACGCAAAAGTTCGCCATATACCAACTTTGCACTTGATGTTTGTAAGTCTTTCTTCCACGCGGATCGGATTCCTCATAGCACTATTGGTAAAGCGTCTGTCCAATGACTGCCGTAGTGACACATTATCGCTGCTTTCAAATTTCTGTGGAATCTCTCTACTAACCCATTTGAGCATGGATGGTATGCTGTCGTCCTTGTTTGTTTGAAACCCATCATTTTTGAAAAATTTTTGAATAAAAAAGATTCAAACTGTCTTCCACGGTCGGTTGTAACTTGACATGGAACTCCAAATCGTGCAATCCATCCAGAAATGAATAAAGTTGCGACTGTTTCAGCAATTATGTCACGCATAGGTACAGCCTCTGGCCAACGAGTATACCTGTCGATTGCGGTTAAGCAATATCTATAGCCGTTCGATGATGGTAGTGGACCAATTATGTCAATGTGGACTTCCGAAAATCGTATTTTTGGTAGTGAAAATATACCAGTAGGCGTTTTCATATGACCTGTAATTTTTTATTTCTGACACTCTATACACGTTTGTGACCATTCACGACAATCTTTGCGGACATCAGGCCATATAAATCGATCTGTAACCATTTTTATTGTAGTTGCCGCTCGTTGGTGTGATAAACCATGGATGTTATCAAACATCTGTCTTCTGAAAGGTGTTGTTAAAATGGTCCACTGTACACGTTGATTTTTGTTCCCGGAATATTAACCTTATGTAGTTTGAGTCCTGTATCTTTGCTCTTCAATAAATCTAATAATTCTTGATCATTTTCTTGTGACTTTGATAATTGTGTATAGTCTACAGATGAAAAAATAGCTTCTGTTCTAAATAATAAAGTATCGGCTGTTATATTTTCTTTACCAGTTATCTGTTCTGACTGATGAAATCAAGCCATTTGAATTGTCTCGGCAAACAATTGTCATTACGTTGTCTGAAAGCATATATTAATGGTTTATGATCCGTGAATATGATAAAGTGTCTTCCCTCTAGTAAAAAGCGAAAGTGTTTTATGGATTGGTAGACAGCATAGAGTTCACAAGCATAAGGAGACCATGCTGATTTGTTTTCAGTCAACTTTTTTGAAAAGAACGCCAGTGGTTGCCATGACTTTGATGATTTTTGTTCCACCACAGCACCTATTTTCCTGTCCGAAGCATCCGAAAATATTGCCAAAGTTGCATTCGGATCAGACCGTGCGAGGAGTGCGCTATTTGCTAAAGCTTCTATTACAAATTGCTTTAATACATATATCCGGTAAACTTATAGGTTTGTTTCCCTTGAGAGCGTGCAATGATAAAAAGTCATCAAGTGAGGCTTGGATTATTGCTGCATTAGGTATGTAATCCCTGTAAAATTGCACATACCTAAGAAGCGTCGTATAATAATAAAGTATCGGCTGTTATATTATCGGCTGTTATATTTTCTTTACCAGTTATATGACGTATATCTGTTGTCTGACTGATGAAATCAAGCCATTTGAATTGTCTCGGCAAACAATTGTCATTACGTTGTCTGAAAGCATATATTAATGGTTTATGATCCGTGAATATGATAAAGTGTCTTCCCTCTAGTAAAAAGCGAAAGTGTTTTATGGGTTGGTAGACAGCATAGAGTTCACAAGCGTAAGGAGACCATGCTGATTTGTTTTCAGTCAACTTTTTTGAAAAGAACGCCAGTGGTTGCCATGACTTTGATGATTTTTGTTGCACCACAGCACCTATTTTCCTGTCCGAAGCATCCGAAAATATTGCCAAAGTTGCATTCGGATCAGACCGTGCGAGGAGTGCGCTATTTGCTAAAGCTTCTATTACAAATTGCTTTAATACATATATCCGGTAAACTTATAGGTTTGTTTCCCTTGAGAGCGTGCAATGATAAAAAGTCATCAAGTGAGGCTTGGATTATTGCTGCATTAGGTATGTAATCCCTGTAAAAATTGCACATACCTAAGAAGCGTCGTATTACTTTTGCTGTCTTAGGTGTAGGAAATTGTTTTACTGCAGTTACTTTTTCCGGTAGTGGAGTTGAACCTGTTGTCGATATTTTGTGGCCTAGAAAGTTGATAGTTGGTTTTCCAAATCTAGATTTTTCCATGTTGATTACAATGCCATTGTTATCTCGCCGTTGAAATATTGTTTTCAAATGTTGTTTATGTTCCTCTGGTGAACATGAGAAAACCATAATATCATCTATATGGCATACGCAAAAATCTAAACCTTTAAGAACTTGATCCATGAACTTTTGAAACGTTTGGGCGGCGTTTCTTAGCCCGTATGTCATGAAATTGTACTCGAAAAGTCCAAAGGGTGTTGTGATGGCTGTTTTCGGAATATCTTCTGGTGCCATTGGTATCTGTGTATAAGCTTGAACTAGGTCGATGACAGAGAAGGTGGTACAACCAGATAGATTATATGAAAAATCTTTGATGTTTTTCACTGGATAGCGATCAGGAATAGTTCGTGCATTCAAAGCTCTGTAGTCACCACACGGACGCCAGGAACCATTTTTCTTGGGCACCATGTGCAATGGTAAGCTCCAGGGACTCTCGGAATGTCTTACAACACCAGCGTCTAACAAAGCATCGAACTCGGTTTTTGCTCTTGCTTATTGAACAGGACCAAGTCTGCGAGGTCGGCAAGCAACTGGTGGTCCTGGTGTAGTTAATATATGATGAAGAGTATTGTGTTTAATTTCTCTTGATGTGCCACTAGGTTTTATAATATTTGGAAATTGTTTAATTAAATTGCCATATTCAGATTCGTCGGTGATTGTAGTAATGTTGGTTAGGTTGACAATTCTAATTACGCCAGCAACATATGAGTTTGTATTTCCGTCTACTAGTCTTTAAGGCGAATGTCCACTAATAAATTGTAAAAATGAAGAAAATCTGAGCCAATGATAGGATAATTTGTCACATCTGCTATTGCAAAGCGCCATCAAAATTTCCTTCTCAAACCCAAATCTAGTTGTATATGTATGTCACCGTAGGTTTTAATAGTGGTTGTATTTGCTGTATAAAGATTAAAATTTGTTGCTTAGTAGTGCCCTCGTAATAATTTTCGTGGACAGACACACAAATCTGATCCTGCGTCGACTAAAATTTGCAGTTTTGAATTTTTATCGGTAACAAACAGGCGGTGCGACGTCTTGAGGTAATAACTTGCCGCCATTAGCGACTGCCATTCATGTTTTTTGAATGCTGAAATGAGCAAGGTTTAGTACATTTTAAAGCTTTGTTCTGCTAGCAATGGTGATACCAACAAATGTCATATTTTTTCGATTGTCTGTTAAAATATGGACTGCTACTTCTTGAACGTCGCTTGGTTTTGTGTTGGGCTAGTAATTTACTTACTTGCTTTCTTAATTCCTCCACTAATTTTGCGAGTTCTGTAATATTACCATTTGTAGCAGATATTGCAGTAGTTTCGATTCTTGATGCTGTTGGTAGGACATTGAAAATATCATCAGCTAACACCGCCACTGCTTCTAAAGACATATCTTTTCTAGAGGCAATGATTGCTTGTATCTGGCTAGGTAGTCGATCACTCCAAATTGTTCGTAAAAGGGAATCTGGAACTGTATCTATGGGTTGCAGGCTTCTCAGATGTCGCAAAAATTGCGTAGGTTTGCGATCACCCAATTCTTCATGTTCAAGTAGTTGTTTAAGTTTTTGTTCGCGGGATTTTGATGAACGCTTGATTAATTCTTCTTTCAACTTCTCGTACTTCCTCGTGTCTGAAGGATTCATGATTATGTCTTCGATTTCGACTGCGTGTTGCGTATCAAGTTGTGAAATTGCAATATAAAACTTCGTTGCGT